GCACGGGGCACGACGGGCGGGCGGGAGGGAGGGAGGATCAGGCCGTGTCGTCCCGCCGTGAGGGTGCCCTGGTCTCCCCGCGTGCGGCGGAGGCGCCGGGCCCTGCTCTGACCTCCGTGCGTTGTGTCCGCAGCCGCAAAATGAGTACATCGAGCTGCACCGCAAGCGCTATGGGTACCGGCTCCACGAGAAGCGGAGGAAGAAGGAGGGCCGCGAGGCTCACGAGAGGTCGCGCAAGGCCAAGAAGATGATCGGGCTGAAGGCCAAGCTCTACCATAAGCAGCGGCATGCGGAGAAGATACAGATGAAGAAGACGTGAGTATCAGCCTCCTTGCTGAGGAGGCTCCACTGCCTCCCTGAGCAGTGATCTGGCAAACGTGATCCAGTGCTTGACCACTCTTAGTTTCAAACGTTTTATGTTTAAATAATATTTTCCACCATCCTGGCACTCAAAGGATGAGATGAGACGTTGATATTGTTATAAAGAGTTAATTGATATTTGAATTATTATATGTATATTCAGGGGGGTTTTTAATGCTACATGTGTTTTCCAGCACAGACTACAGTAACAAGCATTTGTCTGGAAATTGTATCTGTTGGTCAGAAATTGTAATCAAAGCTATTAATAGTGTCCTTTGCTGCTAAATAACTTGCTGCATGTCCACCGTGTTGTTTATGTTGTTTTCCAAGTGCAGACAGTTATTTTCCTCAGCTACTTGTAGAGGTCATTCAATTAACTATTTGGTAGGTCTTTTTTTTCCTTCCTAAGTGGCCTTAAAATTAACAACACTTCACCCTTTTTACAAACACATGTTCCTCAGGTTTGTAAGCATTGCCATCAAACCTCAGAAGAGGAGTGGTGTGTTACTCTTTGTCAGAGAGGAAGCTACCATCTCTCAAAGTGCTTGTGTTTATGGATATGCATGTCTTGTGTTCCTGTCCTGGCAGGAAGTGATGAGGTTTTGTACACTCTGCAGTCTGTCAGTTGTTAGATTAAGTGAAATGACTAGTTTACCTTGAAAATTATTTAGGATTATTCCTTAAATATAAACATATAGTTCTTTACAAATGTCTAAGTTGAAAGGGTATATCTAAAAATAAGTCCCATTTTTTTTCTGCTTCTATTGTTGGTTTTCTTTCTTTGCAGCATTAAAATGCATGAGAAGAGAAATACAAAGCAGAAGAGTGATGAGAAGACACCCAAAGGAGCTGTCCCAGCATACCTGCTGGACAGAGAGGGCCAGTCCCGGGCTAAGGTTCTCTCCAACATGATCAAACAGAAAAGGAAAGAAAAAGCTGTAAGTAACTGTATCAAAGTTTGCAATTACTTGTGCCATGGACCACATTGTGTTGCTGATGCTCAGGTTATCTAACAGCCTCCAAGCAAAGACTAATTAAAACCTGAAACTTTGAGTGTGTAAGACAATGTGACCATAGCAATATCTTGATTTTCATAACTTTAAGTGGTGATTAAGTAAGTAGCTACGAGTTGTATGACAAGTCTGGTCTGCCACTGTGCTGTAGGGGCACTTTGTTTTGTGCTTTGGTTATCGTTGAGCAATGTGACTTGTAAGAATATTGACCTTTCTCTTTTCCCCCTGTCAGGGGAAATGGGAGGTTCCTGTGCCAAAGGTCCGTGCACAAGGAGAAACAGAAGTTTTAAAAGTGATTCGCACGGGGAAGAGGAAGAAGAAGGCCTGGAAGAGAATGGTAACCAAAGTCTGTTTCGTTGGAGATGGATTTACTAGGAAGCCTCCAAAGTATGAGCGATTCATTCGACCAATGGTAATTTTATTCTCAAGCCTTAAGGAATGTTTAAGTTAAAATTCTTTTGACTTACTGCCCTGAGTTTCTGTGGTGAGGAGGCGTTCTTACATGATAATGTACTTGAGTACTACTGATGTAGTACATCCCTGTTAGTTTCCTTGCAGATATCTATACTTCTAATAGCTTGAGGGTGGGGGGATGCCTTTGCAGTCACAGTCTGTGTGGAAATACCTGAGTTTACTCCTGTAACTCAGATGATACCAGTAAGCTAAAGCCACAAGCTGTCAAATCAGCATGGGAAAGTCTTTATCAAAGGCACTTTAAAGTTGGAGGCTTCTTTTTCAAGCTGCAGTGATTCTGTCAGCTGCAGAAGCCAACTCTGTTCTAGATGTACAGAAATTCCTCCTTATGGCCTAAGTAAGCTTGAAGCACAGTCATGACTGTATGTGAGGGAAATGCTGTGCCTGCAGCCTGATCTTTGCTTACACAGCTGCAGGAACAGTGCCTGGGTGCTATGGGCCTGGCAGTGCACAGGAGGAAAAATTGGATTCAGTGAGATGGTCTAGTTTTTATATAAACACCTGTTCCTGTGCCTTCACAGTAATCAACAATCACTGTACAGGCTGCCTGTTGGGTCATATACTTCATTAGTAGTTTGATGGTCTTATGCAGAAGCCTTGGATAGGTTTCTATTGACACAGGAAAATTTATGGTACTTAATGGTGAAGTAGCCTTTACAAAGTGCAGGTCACTAGATAAAAAGTGCTATTGGCAGTGGATATTTAATATTTTTTACTTTCCTCATGGAACAGAAACAATCTGAGGTAGCAAGTGTTACCTTTGTGATACTATTAAAAACTTGCATCCTGAAAATATACACGGGAAGCTTTATCTTGTCATTAGTCAGGCTTTTAAGTATATCTGGCATTCTGTAGTAGGCAGCTAGCACAGTGTATTGTAAGTTGTTACATTCTTCCCAGTCTCTCAAAACATCTGAAGCTGGGGACATAATGATGAAAGGGTTTAACTAGATCAGTCACAGGAGCTTAAACAAGTATTAACTCACTCTAACACTCCTTATGCAACAGGGCTTACGTTTCAAGAAGGCACATGTGACACATCCTGAACTTAAAGCTACTTTCTGCCTACCTATCCTTGGTGTGAAAAAGAATCCATCTTCTCCTTTGTATACCACTCTGGGTGTAATCACCAAGGGTACCGTCATTGAGGTGAACGTGAGTGAGCTTGGCCTTGTGACACAAGGGGGAAAAGTTATCTGGGGTAAGTTTACCTAGTTATACTGCAGAACTACTTTTAAAAGTTTTAAGTCCTCATTGCCTCATGTATTGTGAAGACCCCATCCTATAGTCATAACTGATCTGTTGGTAGGTGTTAGGTTTGGGCTGTAGCAGAATCAACTACTAGCAGCTCTAAAAATACAAGCTCTAAGTGTTAAATCTGTGTCTTTCCATTCACACTTCCAGAATCGAATTAGATGGAGTTCAGAGCAAAGGCTCAACTTGCTTACCAGTGTGTCACATTGAGCAATGCCACAAGTCTGTAATGACCAACCACTACGAACAATCACGTTTTCAGTGGAAGTTCTGTGTAGGAGCACCTTCATAGGAACAGGCTGACTTCTTTTAACAGAGGGGTTGACTTAGACAGTAGCAAACCTAAGAGTTTATTCTTTTTTTTTTAAGCTACTCAGCACTCTAGATATCCATTATAAAAAACAGCCTGAAAAACTATTTTGAGAACGTAAGTTTACAGCTCAGTAGAAGCAGATTTAGATTTGAAAGTGTATTTGGTCCCTACACTTTAGAGGCTTGTGGGTTAAACTTGGAAACATAAAAGGATCTATGATCCACTACAAGCTTTTGTAGACACTTAATTCCCTTTTCTCTTTAGGGAAATATGCACAAGTAACGAACAACCCGGAAAATGATGGCTGTATTAATGCAGTTCTACTTGTTTGATACCAAGCATTGGATGTGGGTTCCTACAAAGTAAGTGGAGTCTCAACAAGTTTGCAAGATCTTTGAAACCTTCAGCCATTCAAGAGCATCAACCCCACAAGCTGCTGAAGCCAGAAACAACAGCTCATGTTTTTCTATTTGTTTACTCAGCTGGACACTGTCCAAATAAAGAAATTTAATTTTCATGTTTTGCTCATATGGTATGGACTTGATCTAAACCTTCCTGATGTTTTTACAGGAGCAGTTTCCTAGCTGCGTTGCATAAATACATAACTCAGGTCACATTCCCAGTGATGGGAAACACAGCCACTGTCTCCCGTGATACTTTATTTACTGCAGTAGCTAAAGGTACAGAAGAACATGCTTACCTGTGATCTGCTTCTGGGAAAGCACTGCAGCTAGAATCTTATTGCAGATTTACATTGGAAATGAAGCACCAAGCTTGATGCATGCCCTTGCAGAATCACAGGCCTGAGAACGTGTTAGCAGCATGGGGATGCAGGGGGGAAAATGATCAGGAGGGCAGCTGTTCTCCCCCTGCTCCCTTACCTGATGTCTTTCTCCCCTCTGCTTCCACAACCACATGAATGGAAAGAACAAGGGTAGGAGAGTATAGCACTGTAGTTCCAGGCAAGAGAATGGGCTCAGAAGTTTAAATGTATGAATTTAAGATGTAAATTTGAGAATGGCATTGCAGCCCTGATACTGCAACTGCTTGTAGGTATTTTTGGCACTAAAAAATACTGAACGAAAACAAGGTCATGAGCCTCAGCTGATCAATACATTTAGCTTGTGCCCTCAAAATACAAGACTCAAAAGCTACTTCTAAACTGGAAGCTTTCAGCAATACTGTATGTAACTTCAGTACACGTCCAGTCAAGAATTTGTTGGTAAATAAACAGCAATATTGTATCACTGCAAGTAAGCATGCTCAGCACTTCATATTCTTGCTCTTAACCAGTACTTCAAGCCAAAGAGTTTTTAACACAAATTCCAAGTCAAATCCTTACAAACTTTCTCAAGTTTAGAGGGCACTCGTTTACCTTTCGAAATTGTTACAAGGAAACTTTCAAATGTTCAAACTTTCTTTAAGATATTTCAGAATGCGAGTAGGTTTGCTTTGGGGTTTTTTTCCTTTAACAAAAGTTTAAGGCTAGAGGCTCACACATGAAATCAGAAAGTTGAGTAGCAGACAGAGCAGTTAGGTTTGGAAGGAACCTCTTGAGGCTGTGTAGTGCAAGCCCCCTGCCTAAAGCAGAGTCACCTACAGCAGATGTCCAAGGAGTATCTGCAGTCAGGTTTTGAGTATTTCCAAGGGTGGAGACTCTACCATCTCTCAGCAACCAGATCCAGCATTTGACCACTCTTACTTTAAATTGATTTATGTTTAAATAGAACTTCCTCTATCCCATATTTGTGCCCAATTGGGCACTACTGGGTCTTGATTCTTCTTTATACCCTGTGATGATGCAGGCCTCCTGCTCCTCAGGTTGCTTTATGATCTCATTAGGTCTTGGCCTTGATAAGTGGCTCCTGTGCAGTTACACTCCCCTCTAGCTTACCAGAAGCAATCCACAAAAAGGAACTTCTGATGCCTAACCGAGGAGCAGGACAAGGGATATTCAGCCATCTCAAATAGTCTTTGGCCATTACTTACCTGAATCATAGCCAGTGTAGAACAACATTCTATGCTTCCATTCTGAAGAATTCCAGTAATCACTTATGGTCAGGATGAAGACTGACTGATGACTAAAGTTAATCATCTTGTAATCCTATAAACAATGCTCTGAAGTGAGGCCTTTTGAGCTCTCCTGGGCCACACTGGGCTGACCAGCAGGCTCTGATGAGTTCACAAACTTGGGAGTTTGCAATACTCAGAGGACTGTTGCCAAAAGCTGATGACAGGGCCAGGGCTGCTAGCCCTACACAGGCATTGAAAAATGCAGTGTATTTCACTGAACTCAAGGGGAATTTTATCAGGTACCTTTGTACATATATGAATATATATATACACACACACACACATCTCTGTGTGAATTGATTGACATACCCTAGAGCAAGTACAGTATAAATGTTGCCATCTCTGACCTATGATTAAGTCATGCTTGAGTAAATACTATTGAATTGCTTTAAATTACTCAATTATTAAGTGCTGCAAAGTCCTTTACACATAAACCATTGATCAAGTCTGAGACTAAGATTGGAGTCAGTCACACTCCATCAGTTTAGAAAGCTGTGGCATCCCAGCCTTAAGGGGAAGGAAGCACCCAAGATTTATAGACACCTGTGATTGAAAGAAATGACAAAATGTCACAGGATGTACAAAAGCTACCAAATTACACTGGTAAATTATACGCTTGGCATGGAAATTGGTGTGTTAATCCCTGATCTCCCAGAATAAACACATGGCAGTGGGTTTTGGATAAAGAGGTAAGGTGAAAGCAGGGAGAGAGAGGGGAGTTGGGGTGGGAGGAAGAGACCGAGAGAGGGAGAGTGGAATTGCTAAGAGAGCATGCAGGAGAGAGAGCATGAGGAAGGGAGAGCATGAGGGAGAGGGTAGGAGATCACCAGCATTGCTCCAGCTGATGGGGTGTCCAGGTCCTGGGCCACACATACACTTTGGGCATTGTGGGGTCATGGGAGTACCTTAACCTTACTCTCTGTTGTGCCTACCTCCAGGAGCCAGAACAAGATCATTTGTCCTGGGAAAATCGTTGCCCTACCTCCATGTGGCCCCATCTCCAGCCACATCCTGTTCTTTCTCACAGCACATTGCTACCAACAATCCTTATCTTCAATGCTTCTACAAAAACAATGGGGTGCTCCCTGAACCTCATGACTGAGCAGGAGGGTCTCCTGTGCCTTTTTGCATCCGTCATCTCTGTAAATAATTTCGTATTGATTCCAATTCAATTTTCCTTTGTGTACTTCATCTCTCTAATTAGGAAAAAGTGAACCTCACCATCAAACCTGGTTAAGTCACACTTTTGCAAATTTGTATTAAACCTGCTTTTGTTAATACCTTGGACAAGGATTTTCTAAGTGACGTAAACCACTCGTTCTGAGGGGTAAATACATGACTTGTTGTCTGAATAACACAGTCATTGCACTTAAGACATGTTCATGTGCCACAACGTAGGGAGTGTGTTACAGCATTTCTAGTTGGCTTGACTATAGCAAACTACATTAATAACTGCTAAGTTTACATCATGTTGCATAACTGATATAAGCAGCAGATTGCAAGCTGTAACATTCAACAGAGCCTGTTCTGCAGCTTTTTTTAAATGTAAGTCTGCTGTGTAAGCTAGTTACAGAAAATTGTTTTAATCTATAAAAGATTTTTACAATCTTTGAGGTTTCAAAACTCCCTTGTAGCAGACAGATTGATTAAGTCACAGTTCTACTGAACTGAACCACTTTAAAATGTGCTTTCTGCATAGCAGAAAGGACTCAAATACTAAAAACAGAGCAAACTAAATCACAAAATAAGTTTAATTACTACTTCAAAACATTTCAAAAGCAGCCAAGACAGTACAAAAGAAGGGAAAAATTAACACTAACAAGACTAAGGTACAATACTATGGAATAGCAACACATCTTTCATAAGATTTATAAACAGAGTAACACTAGTTTAGAAAACATCTAACACCACATTTGTGGAAATAAATTTAGAAGTGTATCCCCATTGAAGTAATATTTTAGAACAGTCACTGACAGCAGGGAAGCTGAAATACAGGCCTATTAGTTGCTATGTGAAAGTAGTGTCAACGCCATTGTAAATTATTACTGTGACTACTGACATCTAGAAATGAAATGGTACAAAAAAAAAAAAGCAGCAAACCAAGGTCAGACATAATTTGAAGCAAGTTAAAGCGCTTTTGAAACACAATGTATACATTTTCATGCGAAGGTCTATGAAACAAGAGAACAGCAACAAGAATTCTGCATGAAATGAAAACAGACCAAAAGAGAATACATGAGCAGTCAAGAGACATTTGAACAAAAGTTGGATTCAAGTACAAACACATTTACCATTTGAGTGCAAGGCTGAAGTCACAAATTAATGCTCTTTAAACTCTAAGACTAAAGCTCAAAAATAATAGTACTTGCTCTCACTATACACACATAGTTCCACAGCATGTTGTAACAACATTTGGTACAAACTTGTATAAAGTTGATGTTTTAATCATTTGTTGCTGGTGCAATAGGATCTTAAAAATTATTTAAGAGTTTGATGGTAATAGACAAATTGTCCAAGCCTAGAAACCACTGCTTTTCCCAAGGCAAAACACTCCAGTTGATACAGCTGTCAGACAAGTTCCCTTGCATAAATGTAACAGAAAGCATAGACTAGTGAGCTACTGTTCCAGTGAGACAATCAATACAGCAATAAAAACTATCAAAGTCAGTATTTTGATTTTGCTACTCTGTGTTTACCGCAGAATGGCTGATGCCAAAGAAGCTGTTACTGAAACAGAACGTGCCCTTTGATTCGAAGTACTGCTGCCATCACAGTTAGAACAGTGTCCATTTTCCAGGCTGTACTGGTGATTAGAATCCCTAATTGCAGCACAATCACCCACATTCTGCACCCAAGTCTGTCCAGCAGTTATTATCCCAAGTTTCTCAGATTTACAGCAATATCTACTCAAGACCAATACTTTAAACACGTGAATTTAAGTTCAGTACTCAAAACTGTCTCACTGAAACAAAATCAGATTTGATTGTTCTCAGTAGAAAACAAAATCTCACAGTCCTGTAATATTTAACATATTGACTATACAAATGGCTCAAAAGAAAGATACTAATTGAAAACACTGCAACTTAGCCATGAAAAGTAAAAGGCAAGTGAGTGACATTACCTTCTCATGAACAGTTTTCCAACCTCACGGGGAATCTAAGTGATACATGTACATACCAAAAATCCACCTAGAACTAACTGAAATAACTGGGACTCACTTTTCATAAGCATAAGAATCATTAACTTTCTGAGTATGGATACATTCATATCAATTGAAGGATTCAGCAGATTCATCTTTAGTAAAGCTGTCCCTAGAAACAGAAGGTGAGTTGCAGTATACTACACAACCACTCACTTTTAGGCTGCCCATCCTCACAAATCCCAAATTCTTGGCAATGCAATAGATGTGTTTTCTAGCCATTCTTTTTTTCTTTTAAAACATTATTAATTTCAGCAGTAAAACAGAAGACATACAGAAGATAACAGAAGTTTTGTCTTATATGCTTTATACAAAATGCTTTATTAGTTTTAGAAACTCTTAAGGTTCACTTGAATATGTTTAAATGATCGTGAAAGATCTTGAATATTTATCAGTTATGATAAGGAGTAGCTGTATGCATGTTGATATTATAGCTACATGCAATAGTTAAGAAACCCAGATTAAACTCTGTAATCTCACACACCCTGAATCTAAAGTTTAGGTAATACACATTTGTTTAAAACTGACTTTTTTTTAACATTTCTTTTTGTCTATAAGCTACACTAACAGATCAGAAAGGAGATTGGTAGTTGATCAGCTGACAGAAATAGTATGAATGTATCTTACAGAGTTATAATACCTTATAAACAGACTTAAAACTATATAACCATAAAAATCCAAAACCAGATTACTACAATAACTTCACAGAGGGATCAAAATTAAGACAGGATTGCAACTATTCGAATGAACCTAGTATGTCTATTTTTGAGACACTGAAAGACTAGTTCACTCATCTTGGAAAAGGCATACAGCATGACAAAAAGTGGTGTGATTTCCTGTTCTTAAAATCACCGTTCTTTTATTTCTGAATTTTTAAGCCATTACAAGAGGAGCTCTGTTTATTGGAAAGAAACACATAGCCAATGAAGGACTAACTTATGTAGGTGTGGCAAAGTTAAATATATTTTTTGCCAGGTGAACCTCAGACAGGAAAATTCTGTCTTTATTTTTGTTTGCTTATAACAAAGTTTGGTTGGTGCTTTTAAGAAAAGTTGTGAACTCAAAAGCTGCCATACCAGGGATTACATCCAAGTTAGAAAAAAAAAGTGAGAATCAGAAGTATTTGCAAGCTATCACCTGCTAACTCCTAAAGGCATAGAGGTTTGGCAAACAAGCATTTGCTGAAACACCCACTAATATTCACACTAATGAATGTCACAACCACCTGAAATGTCAGTTCTCACAGGAGTCATACACCTGGCCGACACAATATTTTAACAGTTACCCACAGCACCAGCCAAGATTTGGAAAACACAAAGAACCACTTCCATTCAGACCAAAACAAGATCAAAAGTTGTCATATCCTTTTCCTGTAATGCAACAAGTAATCAACTATCCACTCAACGCATGCAAGTAGTTAGGAAGGCAGTTCAAATGATCCCCTATGGAGTCTACACTCCATACACTCTGGAAAAAACATAGGCTTATCAAAATGCTTGCTTTGGAAGCTACAAATAGGTTACTGCTCAGGGATCTCTCAAATCTTCATGCAGACACTGCACTGTGTTTCTACTGACTCAGCTGTTCCCAGTGATTCTCATGAAAGACAAATGCTGCTTATGTTGCATTTATCTACTGAGCTACACCTTGTGTATTGTGAGACCCAGAATGACAGAATCTTACATTCTTTTAGCCTCAACTGAGAAAATCTATGGGCAGCGAGCAAGAAGGATCATTACTGTTCTGTTCCTCTCCACAGCAGAGAATATTCACATGTGATGTCTCAAATCCACAAACTGTTCCCCTTGATAGCATGACTGTATTTATTCAGCATGTATCCTTTATGAAGGGAGGAGACTGGCTATTTACTTTAGTACCCTGAAGAAGTTCAATATCTAGCAGTTAAGAATGAAAAAAACCCACAAAAAACTTGAGGAAAGGTGATGAACCCAAGAGGAAGTCCAACCCAGAATTTTAAACACACGTGCCCTGTGTCTGATACGCTTTAGTTACACCCTAATGTTTTACACAAAACTTCCTTATAAATAAAGTTAACAAAATAAAGTTAATTAAATTAACAATCAATATTTGATTTTTAAGCTGGCTTTCCTTTTTTCTTGGGTGGACTTTTGTAGCCTTTGGTCTTTCTTCTCAAGTTTCTCCGATCTACAACGGGTACCTCAATTTCTGCTTCCTCAGAGCTGCTGTCAGCAGCTCTCTCTGCCACTGCCTGCACGTACTGATCCGTCTGCTCAGCAGACTCTTCCAAGGAGTCTTCCAGCTGGTTCTTCTGTCCTTCCTGTCCAGAAGGTTGCTGAAAAGAAACACCCTCAAGTTCAACCACTATCAAAGAGCTCTGATTCAAGGCAACAGGAGCCTCCTGCGAGTTGTGCCCTGCTTCCTCATTTTTATATTCCAGTGTGGTAGTACAGTTTTCAGAAACAGATTCTTCTGATGCTTCAGTTAGCACAGAGTTGAGCAGGTCACTGTCAAAAGATTCTTCCTTTGATGCTGAAGCAGCTGCATTTTCAGTGGTGGTCTCTTCAGGTTCTTGCTGTTCTTCAGTACCCTCCTTCTCTACTGATGTGCCTTCTTCAGTATGCACTTCTGAATCATTTGTATTTAAAACCTGCAGGTGGAGGGAAAGGGTGCCAAAACAATCAAAGGGACGTTGAATTAAAGATAGGCTGAAGAACTACTGCCCCTAGCTAGCAATCTCAGAATACTCTGGCATTCAGCAGCTTTTAATGATACCTATGCACTCAGACCAGTCCTTTCTTCCTTTTTGCACAGGACTATTTTGTAACCTGCATTTGATATCCAGAGTTGCTCTCCTATTTTCAAGTTATTCAAAGGAGTATTCAGGTACAGTAAAAACATTCTGAAATTAATCCCAGAGGAAAAAATATCATTATCGTAGACACATACAATTATTTGCTAGCATATAAAAATCTGGTTTTGCACTATAAACAAAAAACTAGTAAACCCTGTATTCTAGAAAGGTATTATAGCAGTAATTAATTACTTGTACACATCATCAGGCAAGAATTGCTAGACAAAATAAGGATGTGGTTTTTCACTCATACCACCACTCAGTATTTTAGTGAGAAACAGTGGGTTTATTACTGTCACAGCAAACTGCAGCAAATGTATCTTTCTTTTGGGTATCACATGCATGTATGTCCCACTTCTGCATATTAATAGAGACATGTTAGTGTATTCTACTTATGGATTTATATCACTTGGCTTAATAATTGCTTCTCTCAATAATTTCATGTGATGTTGGGGCTACTTTCTATCTGTTACTTAAAAGAAAAAAAAATCCCAAGATATGTACACACTGAAGGAAAAACGAACTCCCATTTTGTTTCAGTTCGCTCACCTTCTCCGATACAGTGTCTTGGGAAGGTTTTTCTGGAGGCTCGAGAATTAATGGAACAGACACTGCTGAGGGTTCTTTTCCTTGACTCTCAGACTGGAATTTTGATTCGCCACTTAGAACTTCATTTGCTGTTTCCTCTTCACCCATAAGTGAAGTCTTAGCTGTTTCTTCTGTTACCTCACCATTAAGAGGTTCTGATGGAGTTTCCTAAATAAATAAGAAAGTAAGTAAGTAAGTAAATAAATAAATAAATGTCACATTTGTAAGCCAAGATTATGCCCAGCCATTGTTCCCCAGCACTAGTATATCTGTGATCTAAATCTGCACCATAATGTAAGGAGCAGATAGCTTGGGTACCTTCAAATATGTCCTAAGAAGGCAGAACTTAATGCCAAGTAGCTAGCTTAACCAAAGTATTAGCTTGGTGTTGTCACCTGCAATAAACTTCTGGCCATAACATACACTGTTAGCCAAGCCAAGCAGTTTTTATGCATCTCACGTGCATGCATGCAGCAGTCATTCCTTGAACACAACACAGTGCAAGATCCACTTTCTCACCCATCAGTAAGAGCATAAAACCCTGGAGGCATTGCTAGGCACAAGGGGTACTCAGAGATTTAATTTCAAGCTGTTAACAAGTTCAAGATAAAAAGCTGAATTTAAACTTGAAGTTTAACTCCAACAGGCAAGTTTTAAGTAGAGAAGTGAAAAGAGCCAACAGAAGTCACCGAAGCATACCAGCTATTGGCTTCTTCAAATAAACATTGGGGTTGTTTTTTTTTTTACTAATTAGATACACTGGAGCAGATCTTAACCTTACTCCAGTTGTCTAGATTATTAGATTAGGACAAATCAATAAAGAACACTAGGTTGATAGACAAGATAGAAATTCACCTTATGAAAAATCCTATGAACTTAATTGTTTAAATAAGTATAATAGAATATTTCATGAAACTAATTCTATACTAGCTTTAACATCTCAGATATGCTTTTAATTGAAGCATTGGTATGAAAATCAAAGAGATGATAGTTACATAGATCAAGGCAGCAAGGACCATATTTAATAGAAATTGTACTTGTGTTCCATACTTATCCACTGTTGCTATCATATCCAGCTCACCTCCTTCTCACCCTGTTTCTCAGGGGGTGATACATGTTGCTCTGTTTGTACTGCAGACTGGCCCTCATCTTCAGCAATCATTTCCTCATCCTTCTCAGCAGTATCCACCTCAGGTGGTACTTCTGCTGCTTCTTCAGAGCATTCAGCTATGCAGGAAAGATGCATCCTGCAGCAAGTATTAAGACATCCTTTACTCTTTTAGATTAATACATAATTTTGGTGATCTCATCAGGAAAGTTTTGCCATGACCAGTTGTAAAGTGCTGTATCACATACTTGCCATCAGAAATAAGGATCAAGAAAACTAAATGCATCCAAAAATGGCTAACTCCTCCTTAGAAAAAAACAAACTAATATTAAGAAAATGGATTTGGCAATTATAAAATGATAGTTCTCACTTCCATTTTATGGTAAAGAAGTCAGAGATTTCTTTCAAGTTTGTTATTTTAAATTTAGAAAGTAGTTATACATTACATATTTGGAGGACACAAAGTGGTGAGAAAAGCAGCCATATCTTCTCCCCAACACACACACTGTAGAAACACTTTGAAATTATGGAATTCTAAAAGAAAATATGTTTGTACAATCACAGAATATGCATATATTACAAAGGTCATGACTGGGAAATAATTCAAGGCAATAAACACATCATGGCCAAAGAAGTTTGAATTAGCTAGAGATTACATTAACAAATAGCTAAAGACAAAATGCTGATGCACCTGATGGGTATTAACACTAACTCAAACTCACAGTTCTAATTTTTCAAATGATGAATTTTAAATGAACTGAAACCATTACATACAAGCAAAGAAAAAAGTACATGCAACAGATTTGCAAGAGGCAGCTTTGTGATATCATAGAAAAGGTAGTATTGGAGGGTTTCATCCTACACATCAGTCTTGAGATAAAAGCACTCCATAGAGTGAAGACCTTATTTCATTTGCTAATGTGCATGGAAAGAAAGAACCAACCTGAACTCCTGTTGTTGCCTTCAGGATTCCCTGCAACTCTGCTCAAAAACTCCATGTTACACATCTTGTTCAAATGAGCAGCAGCACCTCTTTGGCTTAATTTTGCAAGGCTCAAAATACTGACATCTAATATTGGGCTAGACCTCCCACATACCAATTCACCAATTATGAATAGTAACAGGGCAAAGCATTTCTCAAGCTGTGGCAGCAAACTGCCATTTGGTCTGTCTGAAACAGTTTAAGGCAGCACACTGACAGTGCAGCACAGCAATACTGTCTCCCTGTAGTTCCACAGAGCAATTTAAACACAAAATTTAGGCTGTATCTAGCTGAAGACCTCAACTTTACATTAAAAAATATAACTAATTTTATTTAAAGAAACTTAGTAGAACAAGTTTGAGGGATTTCCTAGAAAATAACCAGGTTATCTTTCATTCTTCAAAAGTGGTTTTGGGGGCTGCAGTAGGTTTCTTTGGAAGCAAATGAGGGAGAAACACATACAAAGTGGGGTGGGGTAGCCACAGTGCCTGTGAGGGAGGAAGGGGCTTTTTATTTGCTTAAGGTAGACACAGTTCTGTTTTCTGGATGGAAGACCATGCAAATCAGTACTCCGACCCTGTCTTGCATGGATTGTTATGGCACACAAGTCATCTGACTCTTCACATCCACACTGGACAATTATTACACAGGATAACATCACTTAAACTGGAAATGCCAGGTTGTTTTTTTTCAGGATGTAAGACTGGATGAGATGATTTTAAATTCTGTCTGAACAAAGGGCTTCACTTTGAAGACCTATGTCTCCCTGGAACTCATGCTGTTAAGTGACAAGCAGTAACCAGCTTTCAAACTGAACAGCCAAACTTTATTTTACAGCAATAGATCACCGTAACAAGTGGATTGGAAGGGACACCTCTTCAAAGACCATACACAGCATTGTGGATACAAGTCCAGTTATATTATCGCAAGAAACTATGCTGTATGAACAGATACTTTTTCCTATTGTGCAGACTCAGTTACAACAGAACACCCTCAGCCCTCACTCTTTTCTTACTCTTATTTACAGTATCTACTGAGCTTTCAGAGACACTACATTTTGGTGCAACCACTCTTCTGATGATACCTCACTTTTCATTCTCACATCAGAGTTTACTTCTAGCAATTTTAAAGTCAAACAAGCAGGAAGAAAGGAGAAGATATGCCAGTAGCACACTGAGACACTGACATGGTTTGTGACAGGGAAAGCAATAAAAAAGGAAAACAGTAACATTGGCTCCTGGTACCTTTTAGCCACATGAAGAGCATTTCCCTTATCTCCCCAGGGATTTTCAGGTCCACGTTCATGTTTACGTTTATTTATCTTTGGACGTTTTAAAGTACTGGTTCGTGTCCAGAGAGGAACACTAGGGTCTAAGGAGAAAAACAAAAAAAATACCAACCCAAAATAGATTGAATTTGTTCACTTGAATTTAAGATCTGCATATAATTTCCCAGCCCCAAATAATACATTAAAGAAATTGAGTGTATTCATTGTGGATTTTTTTTCTGAAGTAAAAGACTTTACAAGACTCACAACAATTTTATCTGAAGTCCTCTAAAAAGCTTGAGTTGAACCTCAGCAACTTAGAGGAAAACATGTTTTTATACACTTTACAGATGAATACACTAAGAAGGAAAGCTGTGTAAGAGCCTGTGAACCTACTGATCTGCAGTAATCACAATACTGGTATTCAAAGTTTTTACCTTTAGATGTGCTTGCATGGACATCTGTTGATTCTTCAGCTTTTGGAGTGTCAGTCTGTGGAACAAAAGCAAAGCTGATGTTATTCTAAAATTCTCTGAATTGACTACCTTCATCTGCCTACCTGTGGCTGCATCTTTCTAAAGCACTATTTCATAATAGTGATCCCATGAAACAGCAGCTACAATAATCTTAATTTACATCTAAGTATCTTATCCCCCAACAGATTTTAATTCTTTTAAAATTATCTTTATTTCATAGATGAATAGTTTTTCTGGGCTTTACTTCTGGCCTCAACATGGAAGATAAGACTTGAAAGTGACCTATCACTATAAGCAATACTACTGAGTTTTTTCCTATCAATTCTGTTTATAGCAGGTGTCCTTATAATTAAATGTTAGAAGTCTTTTTGCACTTGATTCCCCTTTGTGTATAAACCCAAGGGACTACACTACAGTAGCTAGCAAAATTTTACTGCAAAGATTCATTTTTATACTTGTATTCTATAGTTTTATTTCTATCATGACATGAACAGCATATGACAGCCTCTGTTAAAAAAAAAGGACAGACAAGAAAAAACAGAACTTGGTGATTCAGCAGTAATGCAGGTCACATGCACAGTCAGCACAAGAGGCTGCTTAGGTCAGAGTTCCCTCTCCCGAGAGCTCTTTTGTCTCTTGTCTGTCCTCACCATCCCAATACTTCAATTTTTTCTCAGCAAGTTAGCTGAGGATTCAGCACTTGATATACTGAAGTGGGTACAAGCTACACACATTAAAATAAAGTTATGGACATTGCTCTATCTTAGCTGCTGGAAGAAATCTGGAACTGGCAATAATCAGCATCCTGGTTTGCCTTTCCAGCCTCACTTCCAGTGCCACACAAGAAGCTCAGCAGAAAAGTGGCCATGTCTACATTCTGCTACTTGAAATAGTTTCATGTGAGTTTTAAACACTTGTAAATTTGTAGATTAATAACAAGTTATTCTAGCACCAAAACACACAAAATAGGGAGCCCTAAGTGAAAGGTGAAAGTGAAAGTTGGGGAAAGTTTTTTCACGGCTTGGGGGAAGGTGGGATATTTTTTCCTTTGATGGTCCAATAGTTTTCAAACCATTGCAGAACTGCTTATAGATGCTGCAGGTGCCAGTTATAAAGCTGACAGCAGTTCTACTAAGCTATGAAGAGCTGGAGCACTTCGGTATCTACTGTCTTATTCTTCTGGAGCAAGGAACTCAAGTCCTGTCTCTTGCCTAACTCATAACAACAAAAATCACGAGAACTACTATCCCCCTGCTATTTTCTCAAAGTATATCCATACAGCTCCAGAAGCAGAGAGTGCATTTTTTTTAGATCATTTAGACACATATTTTGCTGATATGATCATTACTGGAATCTGAATCTAGAACTCCGACGTCATGCTCAAGACACTATTATAAATGAAATACAAGTAAGAGTTACTGCTTCTGGTCACCAAGAGATTAGAAACATCTATACATTTGTCAGTTTTGCTTTGGGAAATACTAATTTTCTTAACTGAGAAAAGGGATATTTGACTTACATTCCACATCTAAGTTTAGACCATATAATTTGTATAATTCTCATATATTAATAGCTGAGTGTACTGATTTGGACACTATTTCCCATCTTTAATTAAAGCATTGACTTCTATGAAAGCATGGTCATGTCAATATTACAGACAGTCCTCCAGCACACAAATCCATGCTCACAGTATTTGGAGCTACAAGTTACTGTCAGGTGCTTTCTGTGTGGCCTCAAAATACAGATGAGATAAAAGAACAGCCTCATAATATCCAAGGACACAATTGTTTTCATGACCACATACCCATGCGTAGCTGAGATCTGGTCGATATTTCAAACACATACAAAGAAATCTGCAGTCTTTCTGTAGGGACAATGTGTAACTCTGAATGCAAACTTCAGTTTCCCTTGTACTGAGCTATGACATGAATGTGCACCTCTACAAACCACCTTTCTAGACAGTTTAATCTCAGAGACAGTTGACATAATCTCTCTTATGTAATTTGCTAGTAAACAGCTAAAAGTATAGACCCTGACAGCTGTAGCATAGACCCCTGACATTGATGAGGAAACCCCACCCTCCCACACCCACCAAAAAAGCTCTGAACTGTCTTTTTAACCCTAGCTTAGTCATTGGTGTTACATCAGAGAGATGCATAACACCCACACAAAAAGTAACAAAAGCATTGGTCTTTTATATATGGTATGGACTTGAGTCAATTCAATTATAATGAGATGGACAAAAATGACTTATTTCTTTTTCAGTAAAAATGCAGTCAAAAAAAAGAAAGAGATAACAGACTGTGTACCTACATTTACCTGTGTTTCTCCATCTGTCCTCTGTCCACTTGCTTCAGGTAGAGCAGGCTGACAAAAATTAGCCTCTGTTTGGAAATTCTTATTCTCGTTAAAGGCATCTGCTGTAAAGATTTAAAAGCAGAAAAAGGAAAACAGAAAATTATAGTACCTTCATATAAAAATTAACCATTTGTCCTGTTTCTAGCTGGCATAGAGTTCATTTTCTTCCTAGTAGCTGGTGCAGTGACATGTTTGAAGCTAGTATGAGAATAATGTTGATAACACACTGGTTTAGTTGTTGCTCAGTAATGCATACCCTGTGTCAAGGAGTTTGCCATGTTTTGCCAGTCAGCAGAACACGTGAAGTTGGGAGGGAGCATAGCTTGGACCTGAACTGGCCAAAGGAATATTCCACACCACAGAACATCATGTTCAGAATATAAACTAGGCAGAGTTGGCTGGAAGGGCTGATGGTTACTCAGGGATCAGCTCAGCATCAATTAGCAGGTGGTGAGCAACTGCAATGATGCACCACTTCTTACTTGGGTGTTATTACTGGTTTTGTTCTCTACCTTTTCATTACACTTACTATATTTTATCTTTTTTCAATTATTAAGCTGTTCTTATCTCAACCCACATGTTTTACCTTATTTTCACATTCTCCTCCCCATCTCACTGAGGGAGGGCAGAGTAAACAAAAGCAGCTGCATGGTACTTACTTGTCAGCTGGGGTTAAACCACACAATTCCAAACACAATCTCACCGGTCTCAGAACACAAAAATCTTTCTGCTGGTTTCCACAGGCAGTGTTCACAGAAGTCACTCTTGTACTTGCAAAGTCTTTGTTCAACTTTTACAAAGTGTCAGAAAACAACAAAACAAAGCATCCATACCTGCAATTATGCGTGCTTCTTGTTGCACAATCGACATAATGGGCTGTCTCTGGAACCAATCTCCTGCTCCCTCTACTTGCCACAAAAGGTTTCTATCTCCAGGATACTTCTCAAGATACTGCTTGCAAGCTGAACAAACATAAGAAAAACACTATATTATACATAATATATACTCAGCTGTACCTCAGTTCTTAAAGTTTATCTGAAATCAAATTATTTCTCAATCTACCATAGTACACACCAGAGAAAGAATTTCTTAAAAAAAAAAAAAAAAAAAAAAAAATCAGTCAAGCCTGAAATAAACATAATATTGCTTTACCCAACTAATTCTTCTCAATTAATCCTTTCTTCAGGCTTAAATACTTTCCATTATTTTCTTAAACTTCAAACACAGAAGGATGAGATTTTTTAAATTCTTCTCTAGGTACTTACTTGAGAGTTCTGCAGCTTCACTGGTGACTGTTCCTGCCAATCACAAGACCTGATCCAGGGAAGGGTTCTTAACCAGAGGATATAGTCAAGTGATTTTTGTCAGCCCACATGATTATAGGCACTTGTGAAAAGTACTCTTTGGGAATGTTAACGTGTTACCATTGCGTGGTCAATCATCCACTCATATTCACTTTTGGAGTATTTTCTACTCTGCTGTTTTTCCACCTCTTATTTCTATACACATATTAAACATACAGGTGAAGAGGTATGCTTTGACATTATTTTGTAGCAGTTGCCAGCCACCTGGACCCAGTGGACAAGATCCGCACTGCATCATTTCTTGACCACCGAAATGAATTAGCAATTAAACTCTGCTCAAGCCAGTTTCCTGGTTGAAGCCGAACAAACCAGCTCTTATCAGATCCAACAACAGGCAGAGGTACTTAGAAAAGCCTAAAATTTCCCTTGGCTGAGAAGGCCAGATGAACATGTTCATAGGATGAACCCTGGCAGATGGCCTTAGACAAGGATATACTTTGAGAAATGGGGAAAAAGGAATGTGCTTCTTGCCTGAACACAGTCCCAGCAACATTGTTCCCAGAACCCTCGTTATTTCCTACATGACATAGCCATCTTTGGTTGTAAATGGAAGAACCATAAGTGTTTTCCTGTATTTTAGAAATGTGCCTTCTCACACACAAGTTAAAACATAGACTAGAATCTCCTTTTGACAGAAGTTCTGAGAAAGCAACATTTAAATGAGGTGTGAGCAAGAAACAGGTGCTGCAAAGGAGATATGCATTAGATCACAGAGGGAAACACCTCAGCCCATTACACAGGCTTGGCAGGAAGTACAGGACAGTGGTTAAACTTCACAGCAGCAGGAAACCAACAGAGTTTGAATAATCTAGTCTCACACAGAGGATTACAAATCTAATCAGAAACTATTTCATTGTCAACAAATCAGAATTTTTAGCCTTCACTGAGGCACAGAACACTTAACACAGAACCTGAGAGCACAAACATGGAGCTTGAATGACAGCACTCATTTGGACATGCCAAGAAACCGCAAAGAAGAATAAATTGAAGAGCTCACCTGTATACAAAAAGGATGACAGTGGATATCGTAAGCCAAGAGCCTCTTCAGTAAAAGAATCCACATAGTCTTCCAATATCATTAGCCCAAAGTCTTTCCCACGATGTTTCTTTCTTACAAAGATTGTGTCTAGCACTGTCATCTTATAATTCTGATTAGAAAAACCTCTACAAACACTTCCTGAAACAAAGGGAAAAAACATCTGTCAGTGCTGGTGGCATCCTGCATACTGACTGACATGCTACAGCATGGATTTTAGCATGTTTAAATAAACACTTCTATAAAATACAAAAATTATACCAAAATATGTAATAGTAAGTAATATAGTTATAGCAATAATGTATAACTTTCATTAAAAATAATTGCTATCAGTCATATATTGTCTCCACCTAATGTTGCCAAGATGTATCTATAGATTCATGTAATCAAAAAAGTCTGTAGTACCAGACAGATGAGACAGAAGAAAGCCTCACTTGGAAATCCCACTATATAATTCCATAGGAAGACTACACTAAAAATGAAGCTGAAAGATGAAGGAGGGAATAGTAGAAAACAAAATTCTTTCATTTCACTTTTGTTGATTACATCACTACTCAGGACAGATACAAAGACTAATTCATTTCTTGTTAAAAGACGGATACAGTAATTCCAATTTTTAAATGAAGACACAAAAAAAATCCTAATACACTTTACACTGAAATTCTCCCGTGAACAACGTATGATCCACAATTCAACAAAGATGGAACAGACTGCCACAGCACATAGGTACTTCAATATCAGAGGATTCCAAGGGTAACTCAGAGGTGACAAAGGGATGGCACGTAATGACATTAAGATAGTCCAATAACTATCCAAGACATTTTCAGGCCCTTACTTTGTGAGTTAGTGTAAACTATGCCAAAAAGTTGCCCTCTTCTCCAACAAGGCCAAAAAGAAGCGTACAGTTGTCTAAACTAAACACAGTTAGTCTTTGCAATCTTGCATTTTTTAGACCAATGAACATACATCTCTTAGGGCCACTAAGATGCTCCGAGACTTGGAGCACCTCTCCTATTAGGAAAGGCTGAGAGTTGGAGTTCTTCAGCCTACAGAAGAGAAGGCTTCAAGGTGACATTACTGTGGCCTGTCAGTACCTGAAGTGGGCCTACAAGAAAGCTGGAGGGGGACTTTTCACAAGGACATGTAGTGATAGGATGAGGGAAAATGGCCTCAAACTGAAGGAGGGTAGGTTTAGATAGGATATTAGGAAGAAATTCTTTACTATGAGGGTATTGAGACACTGGAACAGGTTTGTCCAGAGAAGTTGTAGATGCCCCATCCCTGGAAGTGTTCAAGGCCAGGCTGGATGGGGCTCTGAGCAACCTGGTCTAGTGGAAGGTGTCCCTGCCCATGGCAGGGGGGTTGGAATTAGTTGCTCTTTAAGTCTCCTTTGGACTCCAATCATTCTATGATTATCTTCATTCTTTCAAGCATGGAAAACTTCAGCAGAGAAGTTACATTACTTGGGTACCCTTTGGGATGCTAATCAAGCTCTAGCACTCTTCCTAACCATCTGTTTCCAGAACCATCTTTCTCCACACAGACTACTCATTTGGAGAATACATCACACTCAAACACGGGTGAAATCTTGATAATGTCTAGAAAGAAAAGACTTCAGTGTTTGATAACTCAGGACAGGTAAATGAGAGAACATCATTAGAATATAAAAAGTGAACACAAACACAGCAAATCTTGTGTCACAAAGAACTGACCCCTTTCTAGAATAAAAAGAGAACCACTACTCTAATTTTCAGCTTTATGAGGCCACAACAAAACCTACAGAAATGTAAGTACTACCTTCTGACCATCATACTGCAGCAATCTTAACATTAAAACCAATACTAAGCCTTAGAAAAATTATGAAAATTGTAATTTCTTTAAGAAGCCCCCCAAAAAGAGACAATCAGAAAAAATTAAGTGGTTGTTTTGCTATCTTGATTGCCCAAACAGAATAGGTCAGTGATGTGGACAGTTTACTATGTTATTTTTGACAGTTTGCAAAGGCTATATATATATATATGTAAGAATGGGAAAGACTCCAGTGACCCTCCAGTACCATCATTATCCTCAATTAGTTAAACCCCTCTACGGGGGAAATAAACATGCCAGGCTGTTTCCTTGTGATTCAAATATTAATTGAGATTCTGATGTTTTGAAAGAGAAAACAACAAAATGTCTGTAAAAATAACAACATAAACCTGCAAGCTCAATTGTAATCTCTGAAGGACTGCATGTGTGGAAGGAAAGGGAATCTTTCTGTTATCACCAGGCATCATTTGCTCCACTTTGCATGTGGAGCCAAGTGTCTATGCTGTCATGCTGTAATGTGTTTAAGTGATAATGACATCTAATTCTACATTCATTTCACATAAACAGGATCTAGAGCAGGGAAAAA